AACAAAAGGATTCCCAAGATTCTCCTATATGTTCTGTTTTGTTTGTCTTCCCCCCGATTCCCATATTTTCCCATATCTTCCTGGGCGTCGACGATGAATTGTGTCTGTGTGTTTCTTTCCCTCCTGAAAGAGACCTCCCCTTAGTGAAAACGGCCTGGGACCGAAACCGACGGACCTGGACCCAAAAAATGACGGCCGCGACGCCCTCTCGCGAACCGAAAACGGCTAATTCCTTAATCGACGTGTCAGGGCAGGAGGTCTGTCCACCCCCGATAGTAGGCTCCTGCGTCCGCCACCGTGCCTCTGGGCACAGAGCGGGCGCGTGGCCCTGCGGCCCAGTCCCCACTCTGTCTCGTGCGGCGCGCGCCTGCCCGACGGAGTGACTTCTCTCCGCGGACGCCTCGGCAGCCGGCAACGCCCGCTGCTCCAGGCAGGCAGGCCCTCTCGGGAGCGGCCCAGAGGGGGGTGTCCAAGAGGGGGGGGTGCAAATCATGACCGGCGGCATGTGCCGGTCCAGCGGGGGGGCGTGGGGCGCAATAAAATAAGAAGAGGCGCCATGGAATCTGAGGAAAAATCATGGCCCGCGTCATCACCCCCCTCTTTTCCGCTCCCGACCCTCAGAAGGTGTGAGGGTCCTGCATCCGGTCATGGGCCATGTTTCGGCTCGGCTCCTAGTCTGTAAGACTCGAGACCCCCAAAGCGCCCTTGCCTCACCTGACTCTCCAGCGTGTGCGGGAGGCATGTCCGTACCCACAGCCCCGCAGCCCCGACCCCTCGATCGAGACCCTTCCGTATACACGGCGGCCGTGCACAAAATACCCCGCGCTGAACGTGTCCATGTGGTTGCGCACCCGAGGGACCGCGCCGAACAGCGCATCCTCATCCTCCTCCACACAAACCAACTACTCCTCATCCACCTCCCTCAGGAGAGGCACAGGATGCCATGACTCGCAAACTGGACGACCACCCCGCGTAATCGAGGCTGGTCGGAATCGGACCCCGTCAGTGGAGGCTAGGAGTCGCTTCTCAGGTCGGCCGGCCGAAACAATCGATGCCACGGACGAAAGCGGCCTCGCGACCCGCCCACCACCCATCCCGCGCGCGCCCCCTCAGTCATATCCTGAACTGCTGGGGGGGCAGCATGCCAAAATCGAGAACCCAGCCCTGGGCCCCCCCTACCGTCGGGGCGTTGACCCAAGGAACTCCAAATAAGGAACGAGGCCCCTCTCTCCCACAAGTTGAAGTTCGATTTCGCGTGGAAAACCTCAGGAAAACCGGAGACAAACTGCAGAACAATCAAGGAACACCGAGCCCCTCCCCAATGAAAAGGGTTCCTTCTTCAGGGCCCCGACTATACGCCGCCGCCTGGGGCCCGACCCCCCCTCCGAGGTGCGCTAATGGAGGGCAAATGGAGGCCCTCGGGTTGGGTTGGGGTGGTTTGGGTGGGTGGTGACCTACGCCGCCTGGGGCCCGCCCCCCCCTCCTCCGAGGTGCGCTCCCGACGGCTCCCTGGGGCCCGCAGGCGGCCACGGGATCTGGGCTGCACGGGCCCCGAGGGAGGCTGCCAGGACGGCCGGAGAATGCCCTGCAGCCTCTTCGCTCGGGCACCTCTGAAGGGGAACTGGGACACACACACACACACACACACACACACACACACACACACACACACATATATACACACAACTATAATATCCCCCTGTATGTTCACATATTGTATCGGTTTTTGTCTCCCCCCCCACTTCCCATATTTTCCCATATTTTCTTGCGAATCGACGATGGATTGTGTCTGTGTGTTTTTTCCTCTCCTGACTTTCATTGGCGAGCTCGGGTGCCCCGCTTGCACAGTCGGACTCGGCACCTCGGCGCTCCCCCCCCCCTCCCGGCTGGTCGGGCCAGTGCTGGGGCACCTCAGACCTAAAAGGGGCCAAGGGAAACACGCGTGAACTTATATACAAATTCTATGGCTCCCACGATCTTGTTCACGCTTGCTGGATTCTCCTCTTCCCCTCCACTTCCAATGTTTCCCCATCGTTTCTTGATTTGAAAAGCGACGTTCACCTGCGTTTGTGTATGACCAGCCCCCCTGCGGGCTCCAACCCGAGACCCCCTTCCCGCAGCCTGGAGCCCCCCGCCCCCCCGACGAGCGCCCGACGATTCGTGGCGCAGGGCAGGCGAGGCTTCGCATCATTCTCGTGGTTTCCCTGCAGCCACGTGAGCGACGATCAAACACGGGTCTTACGCGAGATGGCATAGCGACCTTACGCGGTGGTTTACTCGGGCCGCCGGCACGGCACGCTGCACTGGAGACGAGGGCGCTCACGCGCGGCCTTACGCGAGCAGCTTGCGCGCCAATGTCGGTGAAGACAAACCTTTGCTTGGCGTCGCTCGTTCCCGTGACTGCTCCCTCGCATATCCACTCATTTGGGAGGTGACCGGGGGATCGGAACTGCTTGGGACCCCAGAAAAGTGGTCAGAGGGGGGATGAGGCCAACTCCGTTCAGAATCGGCCCCCGGACCCATCCCAGGGTCCATGTGCTGCAATTTTTCATCCCAGATCCGTTTCTAGCGGTCCCGAAGCCCGCAAACGGCCACTGGCGGCAGAAAAGTGCAAAACGGCCTACTCGAACCCAGAACCTCGAACTCCCCCCCGTCCTCCTTGCTGGTTGGAAGCCGTGCTGGGCAACCTCAGACCCCCGGACGGCGTCAACCTGGGAAGTTCTTGCATTCGCTCGTCCTGGATCGGCTCCACGCAAGGAGTGACCCAAAGCAAGAGTGACTCGTGGTACGCAGCTCTCGGCTTAGGTCGGGCCTGTCCCCCTCAGGGGGATTTTGGAGGAAAAATTAACACTACACCTGAGAAAACCCCAATCGGTGGATGATTTGGAAATTGATACTATGGATCTTGAGATCGATTGTAAGATAATGAGATCGATAGTGGAATCGATAGCGAGGACGATTGTATGGTCGATCGTGAGACCGAGAGTGAAATCGGTTCAATGAGATCGATTGTGAGATCGATCGCGAGATCGCTCATGCGATCTCTAGTGAGATCGCTTGTTAGATTGATCATGAGATCGATTGTGAGATAGATGATGAGATCGATCGGGAAATCGGTAATGAGATCGATGGTGAGACCGACCGATAAGAAGATCGACCAAGAACCCGGGAACCTCGCCGCCCTCCGAACTCAGCTTCGGAACCCAGAACCGGGAACCCGGGAACCCAACCTGCCTCCAACATCGGCGGGGAACTTTCGCCAACTCCTTCAACATCCGCTGGGACCCCTCCAGTGCAAGCACGGATTGGGGAAATGCCCCAACATTTTTGTTCAACAAATGCTCAAGAATAGTCCAAAAATGGTCCCCATACTACCCCAGATTTCGTAATAAAGGGAGGGGGGTCTCATTTCGGGGGGGGGGTCTCTTCCAGGCCATCTTGGAGGGTTGGGGGGGTCTGGGGACGATGTTTTGGAGGGCTCTCCCACGGGGGAGGTCTGAAATGGCTTGTCTTGGAGGGTCCAGACCCCCTCCCTTTTATTAAGAAATCTGGAATATGTTTTGCTATGTGTGGATTTTCCTCCTGTCGAGAGGCAGGCCAGACCTAACTCTAGGTGGCAGCGAGTGGGCCGAACCCGCGCGCGCAGGCCAGCGGCGGGGGGGGCCCTGGCACAAGAGGTCACGCAGGCGAAGGGCAACCCTTATGGTGGGCCTGCCTTCCATCGCCACCACCCTGAGTAGGAGGGGGAGGGGCTCCTCCTCCTCCTCCTCTTCTTCCTCCTCCTCATCCTCCACCTCCTTCCCCCCTCCAACTTATGGTGGTGGTGGTGGTGGAAAGCAGGCCCATCAACTTACGCTGGAGGAGAACCACAACTATATAAACATACACTTTAGACGGGCCGCGCCGAATTCTCGGATCTGCGCTGGCCCCCTCCCTTGTGCGCGGAGTGCGCCAGGGGGTGGCGCCAAAGGCGCCGCCAGGGGGGGGGCCCCGCGCAGATCCAAGAAATCCTCGCGGAGCGTCGAAACTTTCTGTTTATGCCGTTGCTTCTTCTTCGATGCGCGTACTCCGAATTTCATGGTAGAAAGGAAGGGGTCTGATTTGGGGGGGTCTGGCTGGTGCGGTTTTGGAAGCCAGGGGTGCCTGGGCACAAGAGGCCACTTGTTCACGGCTGGTGTGGAGGGGGGGCTCTAACACTGCTCGTGTGAGAGGGCTGTGAACCCCCTCCCCTTGTCCTACGAACGCTGGACCGTCAGAGTCCAAGACGCACTCGCCAGAGAGCGTCGGCGTGCTCGAGTCTGACGTTGCCCCGATGTCTCGGCGTCACCCCAACACTCGAATACTATGTGTGCGTCGCCCCCCCCCAGGGGCGACGCGCGCACCGACAAATCTGACAGCAGATGCGTCGTGGCGGGCGCTCCCTGGCCACACCCGCTCGGGAAGCTAACTTCTACAAGGTGGGCGTCCGCTTTCCTCGCATCGGCCGCGCGCCTCCGAGGAGGACGCGTGCAGCACTATACAGCACGTCTCCGTGCGCCCCACGATGCTTCCCCTCCGATTCGCGGAGCCGACTGGGGCCCCCTCTCGGCAACCCGGGGCCCGCCGCCCCCCAGGGCTTGAGCAGGGACCGACCGTCCCGGCATCCCCACAGTCCTACCACGACATGTTCTGAGAGCCCAGACACGTTCCAAGAGCAAGAACCATGTTCCTAGAACAGAAACCCAGACGCCAGTGACGAACGAACAACACACACCCATACCCATATGGGGGTCGTTGGGAGGAGGACTGGCTATGGGTATGGGTGCGGGTTGTCGGACCCTGGGGAACGCTCCCGTTCGAGCGGGGACCCTTATCCGACAACACGCACTTATCGCCCCCTTTGACCCCCCTATGGATATGGGTGTGTGTGTGTTGTTGGTTCGTCACAGGACGCTTCGCCAGGACGCTTCGCCGCTGCTTGAAGGGCGTGCGCCCGCCCACCCCCGGGGCGCCCCCGCCGCGCGCCTCGCGGGCTGCGGGCTGCCGGCCGGGGGGCCCAAGCGGCCGGGCGGCGCCTTCCACGGGGCGTCCTCCACGGCCTGTGACGGCGGGGGCGAGAGGGTGAACCAGAAAGGGGCGGTGATCACGATGGCGATGACGGCGATGGCGCTGACGGTGACGTCATCGCCATCGTCATCGGGGTAGACAGTCAGCTCGTGAGCAGCTGGTTTCCCTGGCGCCCCCTGGCGCCAGGAGGCGCCGCCCATGCGAGCGACGATCAAAAACGAGTCTTACGCGAGATGGCATGGCGACCTAACGCGGTGGCTTCCGCGGGCCGTCAGCGCGGTGCGCTACGCTGAAAGCGAGGGCGCTTACGCGTCCAGTCCGAGCAAATCCGACCAACCTCACCTGACTGTGTGCAGTTCGGCTCCATGGCCCTTTCAACGATCGCTCTAAGCAAAATCAACAAACTTCACGCTTGACTTCCAGGCCGCCTCCGTGGAGGCGCAGAATCTTGGCCCTCCCTGGCCGTGGGGTGGTGCCCCCGCTTCTTCCCCGCGGCCCTGCGGCCTTCGCCACGTATGGCGGCGGCGCCTTGCGATGCTCTGGCACCTGCCGCGCCTTGGGCGGCGCCTTGTGGACGACGGCCCCTGGCGGACGGGCGAGAGGGAGACAGGGGGAGGAGCGAGAGAGAGGGAGGGAGGAAGTGGAGGGGTGAGGACGGTGGGAGAACGAGGGAGGAGGGCAGATGTCAAGGGGGGAGGGGGTGGGCGTGGAGGGGCAGAGGGACAGGGGGCAGGGTCGAGAAGGAGGGCAAGGGGGGAAGGACGAGGACAGAGAGCGGGCGAGCGGGAGGGGTGGAGGGAAGGAGACGGTGGCTCGAGACGAGAAGGGAATACGAAGACGAGGAGTGGAGGCAGAGAAGCTGTACTACAATGTCGCATTCTCTTGCACCATGTTTTGAAAGCTCCGACCATGTTATTTTCGCGTCGCACCACCCTCACCCAAGCGTTCCCCAGCAGCCCAAAGCCAACTCCAACCCGACCCCCTTCGCCACGAACGCTTTACTTTTGCGTCGCACCCCCGCTCCCTCCCCCCAGCTTTCTCCAGCAACCAATCGCCCCCCAGCAGCCCCCCAGCAGCCCAGTCCCTCCTCCGCCCAGCGGTCCCCAGCAACCAAGCGTTCCCCAACAGCGCAGTGTTCCTCAGCAAACTAATTCCCCCTTCCACCCTGTGCCCCCTCCGCCCCCGCCCCGAACAATATATTTCAGCGTCGCGCCGCAATCCCCCCCCGCCCCCCCCTCACGCCCCCTTCCCCCATGCGTCCCCCAGCAACCCAACGTTCCCTAGCAACCCAGCGTTCCCAAGCAGCCCAGTGGCATCATCGCCCCAGCCTTCCGCCAGGACAGATTTATTTTCACGTCGCACCGCCCTCCCCATCCTGTTCCCCCAGCGTTCCCCGGCAGCCCAATGCCCCCCGAGCAGCCCAGCGTTCCCCAGCAACCCAGTGCCCCCTCCGCCCCGGCCCACATCCGCCCTGACCATTCGATCACATTGCACTCTGTGTCCAGAGCCGCAACCGGATTAGTTCCGCGCCGCACACCCCCCCCCGCCCCCCTCCCCCCAGCGCCCCCATCTCCCCCACACACCCCTTAACGTCCCCAAGCAGTCCAATGCCCTCTCCGCCGGCTGCGCGATCCGCCTCGACGGCGAAATTTCCGCGCTGCACACCCCTCCGCCCCCTTCCCCAGGCGTTCCCAACAGCCCAGCATCCCAAGGCCCTCTCCGCCCACGACCCCCTCCGCCCCAACCACATCATCATTTCAGCGCCGCACACCTCCCCCCGGCCCTCCCCCAAAGTCCTACACCGACCCCCCCCTCCGCCCCCAGCCAAAGTTCCCCGGCGACCCACTGCCCTCTTCGCCCACTGCCCCCCCGCCCCGACCACTTCATTTCTGCGCCCCCCCGTCCCCTTTCCCTTAACATTCCCCACCGAACCCCACGCTGCCCCCATCCGCCCCGAGCGCTTTACATCCGCGCCACACGCAAACTTGGCGGCTGGGCAGAGGGACTGCTCCGGTGATGTACAAACACACACGCACGCACGCACGCACGCACGCACGCACGCACGCACGCACGCACGCACGCACGCACGCACGCACGCACGCACGCACGCACGCACGCACGCACGCACACACACACACACACACACACACACACACACACACACACACACACACACACACACACACACACACACGCACGCACGCACGCACGCACGCACACACACACACACACACACACTCGCCGCCCTGTTCCCCCAGCGATTCCCAACAGCCCCGTGTTCCCCAGCCGCCCAGCCGCATAGTACCCTCTCCGCCCACAGCCATCTCCGTCCCCACCACGTCATTTCCGCACCGCGCACCTCCCCTCTTCCCAGCGGCGCCCCCCGCCGACCGCCCCTCCCCCCCGCAGCGGTCCCCAGCAGCCTCGTGTTCTTGCTCTTTTCGCCCATTGCCATTGCCCCCTTCCACCCGACCACTGCACTTCCGCGCCGTATTTCTCCCCCCCCACCCCAGCTGCCCAGTGCTCCCCAGAAGCCCAGCCGCCCAGTGCCCTCTCCGCCAACACCCTCTGCCCCCACCATTGTATTTCCGCGCCGCACACCTCCCCTCTGCCCCCTTCCCCCCAGCGCCCCCTACCGAGCCCCTCCGCCCCCCCCAGCGTTCCCAAACAGCCCAATGCTTTCTTCACCCTCTTTCAACTCCGCCCCGACGATTTTGCGACGGCGCCGCGCCGCACCGCCCCCGCCCCTTCCGCCCCCTCCCCCAACCGTTCAAAAGCCGGTGCGCCCCCTCTGCAGCCCAATTGCCTCTCCGCCCAATGCCTCCACCGCCCCCACAATCGATGCTCAAGCCGCGCCGCCCCCTCCCTCTCCATCCAGCGTTCCCCAGCAACCGAGCGTTCCCCAGCAGCCCAATGCGCGCCAGAATCCCAATGCCATCTCCGCCCAATGCCACCCCTGTCCGGACCATTCCACTTTCGCGCCGCACCGACCCCCCCCCCCTTCCCCCCCCAGCGCTCCCCAGCAACCCTGTGCTCTCTCCGCCCAATGCCCGTTCCGCCCCGACCATGTCATTCATTGTCGTGCCGCGCCGCACCTCCCGCGCCCCTCCCCCCCACCACCCCGCTCCCGCTCCCCCAGCGTTCCCCAGCAGCCCAGTGTTCCCCAGCAGCCAAGTGCCCTCTCCACCCAGCGTTCCCTCCGCCCTGCCCCTCCAGCAGCCCTGCGCCCCCTCCGCCTAGCGCCCCCCCCGCCACCGCAAATATATGTTCGCGCCGCAGAGCCCCCGCCCCCTCCACCCGGCGTCCCCCAGCAGCCCCGCGCTCCCCAGCAGCCCACTTGTCCCAAGCAGCCCAATGCCCTCTCCGCCGAGTGCCCTCCCTCGCCCAGGTCTCCCAGCGTTCCCCTCCAGCCCAATGCCCTGTCCACCCAGTGCACCCCTTCGCCCGGACAACTTTATCTTCGCGCCGCACCGCCCCCCCTCTCGGTCCAGTTTGCCCCAGCAGCCCAGTGCTCCCCAGCAGCCCAGTTCGATCTCCGCCCAGGGTTGGCCATGCCCCACTCCCCAGCGTTCCCCAGCAGCCCAGCGCCCTCTCCGCCCAGGTGCCCCCCTCCGCCCCGACCACCTGATTATCGCGCCGCACAGCCCCGCCCTCCCGACTCTTCTCCCAGCGTTCCCCAGCAGCTCAGTGCTCTCTCCCTCGGGCGCTCCCCAGCAGCCCAGCCTTCCCCAGCAGCCCAGGAGTTCTGGAGTTTTCCCCAGCAGCCCAGTGCCCGCTCCGCCCAGTGCCCCCTTCGCCCCGACCCCCATCGCTCCCCAGCAGCCCAAGGGCCCCCTGCCGCCTCGTGACTTCCTCCACCTCCTCCTCCTCCTCCTCCTCCTCCTCCTCCTCCTCCTCCTCCTCCTCCTCCTCCTCCTCCTCCCTCTACATTGCAAGAGCTACGGCACGCGCGCCCCTTGTTTTCGATGGCCACTACTAGACCTTCGCGCAGCCCCGCCCCTACCAGGGTAGTGGGATGGCAAATAATAAAAAACCGGAATATCAAACCGTCCTTCCCGAATGTCTGCGCGGGCAGCGCTATGGCGGGCTGCGCTCGGGCGGCGGCTTGCGCTCGACGGGGGCACCGCGGGCGCATCATTTGGCCGCGACGCCAAACAAATTCCACTCGGGGAATCGGGACAAGCCTTGGATTCGAGTCATGTGCGCAAGGAAAAACTGGGAGGATTCGAAGGTTGGAGGGACGGGGCGTTGAAAGGACTGGGAGTTGGAGGTGCACGGGACTTGCCGACGCGCCGTTCGGCGCATGGCTTCTGGACTGGACTGACAATAGTGCCAGCGGCCGGCCCCACACCCCCTGGCCACGTCACGATTCGCGCCCGCGCCGAAGCATTATCAGACAGCGCCGGCGCGAATCGCGACGTGACAGGTAGGGAACCGAACTCTATACACCGACACCTTTGTCTGGCCTCACACTGAATCTCGCACAGGAAAGCGGATCCTGATGTATACGGGATCTTGGTGTATGCATGTTTCGTTGTTTCCCTGGGGAAACGAGGAAAAAAGTATACACCACACCACCCCGACGTCGTCCCCGACCCTCAAAAAGGCCTGGGATTGAAAAACAACCCGCCACTGGTCATGTAAAGGTCCCTGTTTCCGAACAGGCCCCCCGGAAACTATTGGGTGAAACGGTCAGCGTGCGAAGCATGGCAATTAGGGGGAGGAGGAGGAGGAGGAGGAGGAGGAGGAGGAGGAGGAGGAGGAGGAGGAGGAGGAGGAGGAGGAGGAGAAGGAGGAGGAGGAGGAGGAGGAGGAGGCGGGGGAGGGGGAGGAAGAGGAGGGGAAACAAGGGCCGGAGCCGCTTGGGCAGGAGCCTCCAAGCCCTGGCCGCGCGCCGTGGATGTCCCCGATGTCCGTGAACCTTAGTGCGCGCGCGCGGAGGGAATGCGTGGTCAACACCGCCGACGCCACCCTGAAAGGCGATCAATCACCGATGTAGCATCCTCAAAAAGCATACTCCAGATTTCGTAATGAAAGGGAGGGGGTCTGGACCCTCCAAGACAAGCCATTTCAGACCTCCCCCGTGGGAGAACCCTCCAAAACATCGTCCCCAGACCCCCCAGGCCCTCCAAGATAGCCTGGAAGAGACCCCCCCCGAAATGAGACCCCCCTCACTCTATTACGCAATCTGGAGTACCGAACCCGTGGATGTCACCTGCGTTACGACCAAGGCGGCAACATATGCACAATCGAATGACCACGTGGTCTCGGACGTGTGCAACTATAAGTATGTGTGACCATTCGAGCCACGAACAGCTCGCGCACGTACAAAATCAATGCGGCACCCAAGGATCTTCAGGAGGATTGCAATGAGACGCGGGACGAGAAGTATGATAAGGCTGAGGACTAGGAAGAGAAATCTACATTTTGATAACTGCATATGGTTTATCTTATGTATGTGTATGTATACACGTGCAGCTCTAGAAATAGAGAGAGAGAGAGACTTATGTGTGGGGGGTGGTGCAGGAACAGGAGGGGGAGGAGAGGAGAGGGGACAGGAAAGAAACGAACGGGAGGGAAAGACGGAGGACGGTTGACAAGCGAAGGAGTGAGGGAGGAGCAAAACGAGGAGGACACAGGGAAGGCCAGGATGAGGCGGAAGATCAGGTGCAGCAAAATCGCAGGAGCAGATCTGGCAGATGAGGTAAAGAAAAAAGGAGGGGGTCAAGATGAGGAGGCCGAGGAGTAGGAGAGGCGACGCAATGAGAAGCACAATGGGAATTTCAATGTGGAGTAAGCGTGCCCCCTCAACCAAGACACCCGAAGGCGGCAGCACAATCGGAAACCGAACGACCCGCCGCCTCATCCGAAGCCGACGGGCCGCAAGCAGCCTGGAGATGCGCAGCGACGCCGCGACGACCGGACGGGCGAACGAACAGGGCCGACCGAGCGCCACCGACTGCGACGCGGCTGAACCGACCGAAGCGCAGAGCCCTCGGTGGTCCCTGCCGCCCGTCTGGCCCTCGAGCCATGCCCCGGGCGCCCGGCGGCCGCTAGGGACGCGGGCTCCCCCCCCCAAAAAAAAACACGTCCGAGCGCCCTCGGCCGCGCGCAGCTGCTGCAGAAGCACCCCGACGAGGTGCCGACCTTCGACCACCACCACCACCACCACAGGCAGGACTGGGGGGGGGAAGGGAGGAGGGGAAGGTCCTCCTCCCACTGCTTCTGCTCCTCCTCCTCCTCCTCCTCCTCCTCCTCCTCCTCCTTCTGCTCCCTCTCCTACCCAGAGTAGTGGTGGTGGAAGATCGGCCCATCATCCCGAGGCTGGTGAACCACCGAGAAAAGAAGGCGAACGTGCACGAACCTCGACCGCAAAACTGGGGATGCCACTTCCTGGACTTTTCTGGGAGTGCGATCTGACTAGAATTCTGAAGCGAATGCAGCCGTGGCAGCGAGGGCCGCCATGGAGGCCGAAAAAGGGCGAAAACGAGGGAAGGGATGCAGTAGCAGCACTGTGACCTCCTCTGGGGAACGCACGGATCATCCCGCCGGCGACGCCGCCGAACCGACCGAATGAAGGATACCCTCGTCAACTCGCTGACCCCCATACCCGACGTTGCGAAACAATTGCATCGTCGTGAAACACTACGACCACAGATGCAGGACCAATCTGTCTGCGCCACTTTCCGAGCCGGATCGATCTGTAAGGGTTTCAGGGCCCGAGACCGGGGGAAAACGCCCGTTGCGCAACGCCTGGATCTCAAGGGAATGATAGGATTTGGGAGGGGACCTAGAGGGCCAAAAACATTTGGGATAGGTGGTCTTTTCTGCAGATGTATCGCACCAAACCGTCCAAAAGTCGTATCCTTGATGCAAAGACGGGGACCTCAGTGAGGCCATGCCTCCATCGTGTTATTCCCCTAATGTTTCGTGGGGTTATGGTTTTCTTCCCACCCGCGTCGCCCCCGCGTCTTCCTAACCTCCCGCCTCCCCCTTTCTCCTCCTCCTCCTCCTCGTCCTTCTTCCCTTCACCCACACGCAACACATGCAGTGCACGTGCATCTGACACGCGTCTACATGCAGCTGCACGCATGCACACACACACAACATACACCATACAACGCTAGTGCACGCCCGGCGTGTTCATAGCACCATACACCCAAGACGTATGCACAACATATTGGGCACCCACATGAGGCACACGTCCCGATACGGCCGCACACGCATCATACACATACACATCACACGCCATACACACATCGCACGTGTAGGATGCGCAGGGCACGGCAGGCATGGCACTTTCTCGACACCAGAGGGAATGCGTTGGGGGCAGTCCCTGAACGCGGTGTATGTCTACGACACTGTCGCAAAGCCTAGCAGGCGTGGCATGTTCGACACCATCGGGGGTGCGCACGACGTGGTGCCTGAGCGTGGCCGCTATCCGTGCCGGTCGTCCAGGGCGTAGCAGGCATGGCACTTTCTCGACACCATGGGGGGTGCGCACGGGGTGGTCCCTGAGCGCGGCCGCTATCCGTGTCGGTCGTCCTGGGCATGGCAGGAAAAGCACTTTCTCGACACCATAGGGGGTGCGCTGGCAGGAGGTGGTCCCTGAGGCGGCCGCTATCCGTGCCGGTCCCTGAGCGCGGCCGCTATCCGTGAGGTCGTCCGGGGCATGGCAAGAGTTGCACTTTCTCGACACCATGGGGGGTGCGCACGGGGTGGTCCCTGAGCGCGGCCGCTATTCGTGCCGGTCGTCCAGGGCGTAGCAGGCGTGGCACTCTCGACACCAAGGGGGGTGCGCACGGGGTGGTCCCTGAGCGCGGCCGCCGTCCGTGCTGGCGTCCATGGCATAGCAGGAGTGTTTTGTTCTCGACACCACAGGGGGTGCGCAGGAAATGCTCCCTGAGCGCGTCCGCTATCCGCACCCGTCGTCCAGGGCATCGCATGAATGGCACTTTCCCGACACCACTGAGGGTGCGCAAGGGGTGGTTCCCGAGCGCGGTCGCTGTCCGCGCCCGTCGTCCAGGGCATGGCTGTCCGTGCCGGTCGTCCAGGGCATTGCAAGCACAGCATATTCTCGACTCCACAGGGGGTGCGCACGGGGTGGTCCCTGAGCGCGGCCGCTATCCGTGACAATGGTTTACTATCCGTGGCATATTCTCGACACCAGAAGGGTGTGCGCAGGGGTGGCATATTCTCGACGGGGTGCGCAGGGGGCAGGCGTGGTCCCTCAGCGCGGAAGCTATCCGTCACGGCCGCCCACGGCAAAGCAGGCGTGGCATATTCTCGACACCATCAAAGGGGGTGCGCAGGGGGTGGTCCCTCAGCGCGGGTGCTATCCTTCAGGGTCGTCCAGGGCGTAGCTGACGTGGCATATTCTCGACACCATAAAATGGGGTGCGCACGGGGGTGGTCCCTCATCGTGGCCGCTATCCGTCACTGTCGTCCAGGGCATAGCAGACGTGGCAGATTCTCGACACCGTAGGGGGTGCGCAGGGGGTGGTCCCTCAGCGAGGCCGCTATCCGTCACGGTCGTCCATGGTATGGCAGGCGTGGCATATTCTCAATACCATCAGGGGTTGCGCGGGGGGTGGTCCCCAAACGCGGCCGCTATTCGTCACGGTCGACCACGGCATGGCAGGCCATGGCATATTTTCGATACCATAAAAAAAGAGTACGCAGAGGGGGGGGGTCCCTCAGCGCGGCAGCTATCCGTCACTGTCGTCCAGGGCGTAGCAAAAGTAGCAGATTCTCGACACCGTAGACAAAGTGCGCAAGGGAGTGATGCCTCAGCGCGGCCGCTATCCGTCACGGTTGTTCAGGGCATGGCAACCATTGCATATTCTCGATACCACGAGGGGGTGCGCAGGGGGTGGTCCCTAAGCGCGGCCGCTGTCCGTCACGGTCGACCAGGGTACAGCGGGCGTGGCATATTCTCGATACAATAAAAAGGAGTACGCAGACGCAGGGGGGGGTCCCTCAGCGCGGCAGCTATCCGTCACTGTCGTCCAGGGCGTAGCAAAAGTAACATATTCTGGATACCGTAGACAAAGTGCCCAAAGGGGAGGTCCCTCAGCGCGGCCGCTATCCGTCACGGTCGTCCAGGGCATGGCAGGCCATGGCATATTCTCGATACCATGAGGGGGTGCGCAGGGGGGGTCCTTAAGCGCGGCCGCTATCCGTCACGGTCGTCCAGGGCATAGCAGGCGTGGCATACTCTCGATACCATAAACGGAGTGCGCAGGTGGTGGTCCCCCAGCGAGGCCGCTATCCGTCACGGTTGTCCAGGGCATGACAACCATGGCAGAATCTCGATACCGTGAGGGGGTGCGCAGGGGGTGGTCCCTCAGCGCGGCCGCTCTCAGTCACGGTCGTTCACGGCATGGCACGCGTGGCGTATTCTCGACACCGCAGGGGGTGTGCATCTCAGCGCGACTGCTATCCGCCACGGTCGCCAAGAACATAGCACGCGTAGCACGTCCTCGACTCCGTAGAAGTTGCGCACGCGGTGGTCCCTTTGGCTTTGTAATCGTCTCTGTTGCCACGGCACGTCAGGCCCCTATGGCTTGAACCGCGCGGCCTTCGATGTCAGCCAAGCAACGGCCACGAGCAACATGCTCGCAAGATCCACGTCAGCTACGAGCACGCAAGACACATGATAAGTATGTGGGGTTCCTCGGTAGCGTACTTAGGGTGAGGGGCTCTTTTGCCCTCGAGGAAGGGGCGGCGACACCACCACCAACAATGCGAGAAGCCATTGGGGCTCCTCCTGGTGGTGCGGTGCCCCCTCCCCCGCTCGTGACATCCGCTGACCCCCGGCATTCGGGGAGGCATCGTGGACCTCCTCGCTGGTGGTGCAGGACCCGTCGGCATCGCATCGGGAAGTCGGCTCGGATCGGAACACACACCTTTTCGGGGGGG